ACACCTACGCTCGAAGCCGTTCCACCCTCAATCCGATGAGCAAGCGGAGCGCTTTGTTGATACGTTTAGACGGACGCTGCTGAAAATGAGCGGTGGAAGGAAGCACACAAGAGATACTGAAAGTTTTATTTCTACGGTATAACTCAAAGCAGCTGTCACCGATAGAAGTGCTGGTGAGTAGAAAACATCGTACTCAGAATTCATTGTTACTTCCAAATATTGCGCAAGAAATGCCAAGCCACTGTGAAGTACAAACAGCCGAGAAGCCACGCGAGCCTACAAGACAGGCGAAATGTTCCATAGGGAGGAGCTCCGTGGGTTAAGCCAATCAAACGGAAACCCGGCCACTTACATTTTCAAAGGAGCCCATCTGCACACTGGCTGCAGACTCTCCAGTGCGATGTGCACCCGTTGCTGGAGACTCAGCTGATGTGTCGGAGTTGCTTCCTACGGACACTAACGTGCCGGTGTACGATAGCGCAGGTGATGAAGGCCAGTGGAGAATGCAGCGAAGCAAAAAGGAGAGGACAACTGCCAGCAATCAGCGGTGTTGTAACATGAGTCGACAGATGCTGGTCTTCAGACTCGTTATGACCACGACGTGGATTTTCTGCAGAGCCTGATTGATAGGCTTCTCGAGGTGAATAAATAGGGGTTGCAGGTGAAGCTAATCACCCATCTTGGAAAGAGAAGGGAAAATTACGTCCTCTTTGAGTCACCTTTGTCGATGCAAAAAGTCCGAGCCTGATACTATCCCGCCTCGGTAGGCTGTTTAAAGACCCATATTCGTCCTGATTTGAATCCGCCGGACAGAGAGGAACTGAAGTCCGCTATCGAGGATTTGAAGGGACGGACAGGTAGTGGAGAAACAAATCACCACATCGTAAATTTACGGACAGTTCATCAGGTCTGCCGAACACGTATCAACTGGGCGATAACGCTTCATGCACGTCTGCCGGTTCCTACCCCGAACTGCGCATAGCCTTCACAAATGTTTGTAGTTCAATGAACAAACGCGACGATCTATCACTTCGTTGCCTCTCGTCGTCCGGCCGTACTATAACTGCCCGAAACCTGGTTAAATCCTGAGGTCACTACCCAGGAAGTCCAGATCAGTGGATACCCATGTTTCCGGTGCGACAGACTATCAAACGATCGAGGCATAGTGCTGCTATACATTCGGTCCTCGATGTGCGGGAGATTGGTACACACCTACCATAACGAAAATAGCTTGTGCGAACAGTTATGGTGCTCGAGGTGCCTGATATAGAGTGAAATGTTTGTGAGTACAGCTTATCGCAGCTCGCGAAGTCGATGTCTGGACTGGTTGCCGCATGCCAGAAACTACATGAGTCGGCCCCGCTTCCTGCTTATGAATGATTTTAACTCCCCTCGAATACTGGGACCTAATGCCCAACTTCTCCCCGAGCACTGTGAAAGCGAGGCGCAATTTGCGGAGATGATATTTGAAACTGGGACAGCATAACATGTCTGCCAACCGACGCAACTTACATCGCATTCTGCTCCATCGTGCTTAGACGAGTTGCGAGTAACGTGTACATGAAACTCAGGTCCTGGAGCCTCTGACAGCTAGTGACCACTTGATGGTGTTAGCCAGCCTAGAGCTGTCGTTGCCCTACTCGCGTCTGATGGGGCCATCCTACAATTATTAGAAGACGGACTTCGAAGGTCTAAGTCGAGCCGCCAGTGAAGTGGACTGGTCGCTGCCGCAGGATTCATCTAGTTAAACATGGCAGTCTGTTATAAAAGAGAGTGTGCACATCGTTAGTCGCATGTTTCTCACCCCTCAAATATAGGAGAGCTGGACCAGCAAAAGCACATTGCTTCGATAGACAGTATGGCCAACTGGCTCGTCAGCGACGCGCATTGTGGAATAAATTCCTCGTATCGACCTCCGTTGACGTACAGAGCCAGGCGTACAAAAGGCAGCGGAATCTATGCTACAGCGCAAAAATGTCGGCAGTTAAAAAGAAGTTTCCAACCTCAGCGAAGACAGCCCACAAGAAGACTTTTGCTAACGTGAAGCGGCGCCTGAGGTCCGCAAGTGACGTAGCTGTGTTGAAGGGCACTGACGGACAGCCTCTGACTTCCAGCACTGAAGGTGCGTCCGCATTGGCGGAGCACTTCGCTTCCGTATATACAAGTGGATATGCGTCTATACCGAGCACGACATGTGCAGCCCATACTGAACTGGATAAGCTGGATTGCGATGTAGAAGTTGTCCGCAGTCTACTCGCGAGTGTTGATTGCACGAAACCTGTCGGACCCGATGGGCTTCACCCGCTAAATTTGAAGTGTTTATCGGTCATCATCTCGCCTGCCGTGACGGATCTGTTCAACAGACCACTGTTCGAGGGTGAATTGCCGAGCAAATGGAAATTCTCGGTAGCGAAGCCGACTCCAAAAGGCGGATAATTACCGGTTGATTTGGTTCACCTCTGTTTTGTCAAAGGTGCTCGATAAGATTGTGAAAAGAGGTCTTCTCCAGATATTCGAGTCGAAAGATATAACGCCGGCATAGCACCGTTTCATGAAGGGCCACGAGTGCATCACCAACCTGCTGTTGACGCGGCAGAAATGGTCGCAAGCGTTGAATCGGGGGAAATCACTGGATGTTCTCAACATTGATTTCAGTAAAGCTTTCAATAAAGTGAACCACGAGGTCATGCCCCATAAGCTGATGATGTGTGGTGTTAATGACGCAGTGCATCGGTGGATCAGTGACTTCCTTATTGGGAGAAGATGGCGGGTTCAGGTGGATGAGCACCTAACGAAATGGTACCAGTCCACTAGCGGCGTACTCCAAGGCACAGTACCGGGGCTCATTTTATGCCTGATCCACATCAAAAAAGTACCTCAACTTGTTCGGTCGCTCTGCGTATTATTTGCGGATGACCTGAAGCTTTGGAGGATTATTAATTATCCCGGCAGCAGGACCTGGACCGCCTATCCCGGTGGTTTGCAGAAGTTGACCAACCGGTCAACAAGGCCAAGTCCTGATTCCTGAGCCTGGGGAGGACTAGTTTCTTGGCGCGCGTACACCCTGGCCGGCCACACTCTGCCTCCCACCAGTCCCGAAAAGGATCTAGGCGCACTCTCCCGCTGTGACCTGAAGTCTGTCGACAACACGAACGGACTGTAGGCAAACGGACTACGACTGTTTTGAGTACTTAGACGCAGCTTCTGCACTTAGTCTGAAGAGATTGCCACCAGTCTTTTCTATTCCATGATAAGACCGGTGCTTGAGTACGGCTCACCCGCCTATTGCCCGATCACAACAGGTGAGCTGCAGAGACTGAAACGGGTACAGCATGCAGCTATCCGGCTCATCCCCAGTTCACGGGGCATGTCGTACGAGGACCGATGTAGGAGACTAGGGCTTTATACCCTGTCATATCGTCAGCTACGAGTTGAATTCATAATGACGCAACAGATACTGCACCTGGGCCACTTCCCTATGTTGAGGCCGCTGTTATACGTTCGCACACCATATCAGCACACGCGGACACCGGTACAAACTAGTGGTACCGGATTTAAAGCGCATCGCTCACTATGCTTCGAGCGTAGAGTGGTGAAATATTGGAACAAATTGCCGGAGACGCCAATAATAAATAAATAATGTGTCAGCTGTAAGCCGTAACGGCGCTTCGCTGCCACGCAACCGAAATCGGTGTAGGAATTTAACAGATTCCTTGATATCCACTTTGCGGACTATAGGTATAGGGAGCGTATAGCGCCAGGACAAGATGTAGTGCAGCTGAAATATGCTGCCACCGAGCAGAAATCAGAGACGTTGTTCCGCGCATATGTCCGATTCACCTACGATGGAGCAACGGATTTCTATCTTCTCTTTTTCTATTAGCGAAACGTATCGCCTCATACATAGCGCACTACCGACGCCCTATAAATGGGATTATGCAAATTACAGCGTTTTATCTTGAAGTGGACCAATGAGATTGACCTACATGAAGCATTCAAGTAAGCGTACCACTGGAACAGTCAACAAGCGACTGTTCCCGTGTTCGATAGTTGCAAAAATTCCGGAATTTTCAATTAGGTCATTTTCTCGTGAACTATTTATTTGGACCTCATATTTTGGATACACATTCTGTTTGCCAGGTGCTACACATTAGTTCGGTCAGATACCACTGTCTTCCGATTTCGTGAAATGGCTGGGCCTTGACCTGAGTAGCTGTATCGTTTATCCTTACGGACAGCAGAAACAACAAATATAGTGGCTGTCAGTCTGCTGCTCCTGTATATTTCTAATTGAATATGTTCCATGCAGCGCGTTAGAGACTAGCATAAGCAGGATGAACATCAGGAGCACATCAGCAATTTCTTCTGAAGCCTAAGAACAGCCATTAATGTATGAAAAAGTGAAAATTGGAAGTATTGGCGCAATAAGGATGTGTCCAACCAAGAAAGCATGTTTCTTGGTCAGAGGAATAGGGATTAAGGAAACTTTACTAGACATATGCCGATTTTCTACTTGCCGCACACCATAGTGCCGCAAATACCTGGGAGCCATACACATATTATGATTATTGCCACTATTGCCGTTAGTGTGCTCTGTGAAGGTTTATGTAAACAATAGTGGCGGAGGAGGTAACGAGGTAAGTGTACTCTGCAATAAACACGTCAACAGAATTTGCATCTCTTCACGAATAGGATGCCTTCAACGGAGTAATCATTTGGCAGCAGATGGATGTCACTGAGAACAGGAGCTAGTGAAATTTAAAAGTAGATGTGAAGTACGTCACCAAAAGTTGAACGACTGTTTGGGGCTGAATCGATGGCGCACATACGCGCACAGCGTTGAACTACTAAAAATAGCTTGAAATGCAAATTTAGCGGAATATACTTCAAGGACGAAAATGCCGGTGTTTACACCGGGACGTCAATGTAGTGAAGAAAAGACTAGCAAATGATATTAGGACGAAATCACATATGAAACAAAAAGGATGCAAACAACTTACGCCAACTTGTAAACTCCCATTTCATCTCAATATAGAAATCCGGGGTCTCTCTCAGTTTGCGCAGAAGCTCCGTGACAATCATACCCTGATGACGGACTATCTGGGCATCACGATGTACAAGGATCAATTTGACCAGCTGGGGATCGCCAGTCGAGATGGCTTCTTGAGCGACTGAATGAAGTTCTGAACAGGAAGTGACAAACGGCTTACCAGACCAGTAAGACTTTGATACAAACGATGCATTTGCATTATGCCGTAAAAGAACTCTGGCAGATTCTAGATGATCCAATACCACCGCAAGCATCAAAGGAGTGCGTCCGTGAGGATCCAACATTTCAATATCATGCTTTCAGAACTAACTAAAAAAGTAAGATTAGACAAACCTTTCCATGTTCTAGCAATCCATCTAATGCGTTATAATCGTTGTGCCACACGTAATAATGGAGTGGATATTTTGCACTGATTTCGTTTGAGAGGCTCATCAGTGAATCTGCAAGGCATAACAAACATCGAAATAACAAAACCGTAGCAAACTTCCAAACAACTTTGGACTGTAGACATTGACACTTTCAGAATGTGTACATGTCATTCCAATGCTAACATAGTGAGTTAGATAGTGATGGAAACGAATCGCTGTCAATGATTAGGATTACGGAATAACTCGGTTAAAAACTGATAAGAAAACAGGTATGATCAGACGAGCATGAATGAAAGCCCATTACAACAGCTATCGTAGCGTTGAATCTGAGAGCAAAAGGATGGGAGAAGATATCAACATTACGTCAGCATGCAGTACCGACGCTACGCTACGCTGCGACGCGACCACCACTAGTCGTGCGTGGGCTAAGGATACTGTGAAAGTCGCCCGGTCCCGTACGCGTGCTCGAACCCGCGACCTGCGGATTACAAGGTAGACATGTGATTCTTTCGGCCACTGGCCGGCTGAAGTTACGAAAAAAGGATTCAACGCGTTTGACCGAGTGGGACGTTTAGAGCAAATAATAAAGGAGTGTGGGCAAACACATGTTTCAAAAAATGTTCAATACCACGATAGATCGTTGAGAGGTGCGAAGTCATAAAGTAACAATGCTGCGAAGGTCACTTGTGACAATGAGATGCTTGTATAGAAAAAGTGCACACAAATCGGAATCATAAAATGCACATTTCTGTAGGATGAGGGCATGTTAGAAAGCTGTGCGGAGGTAAGAGATGAAAGGCTTCCACCAGACGCTATGATCTACCGGGTTTCCTAGAATTAACACAAATATAAAATGGTGAGTATGATGGGGAATCGAACAGATGAATCCTGTGTCCCGTTCCAGCAGAAAGCAGTGCAACTGAAGGCTCCTTCTGACTAACTAGAGCAAACTGGAGCCCAGCAGGTTTATTAACGGTGTAAGCGCCGGATACGGAAGGAAAGTGCAACGCAAGCAATAATGGGTTAATACATTGTGTGCACGTGAACAAGATGTGTTGGATTACACTAAAGGTGAAGTGAACATTGAGTCTTACGAAAGTGGAGTCGAAGGCAAAGAGAGGGACCTGGCTGGCACTTTACGAAGATATGCAGTCAGAAGGAGTGTCTTCGCACACGACTCACTGGATAGCATGTGGAAAAAGTCAATAAAAAGATTATTTGTGACCTATCACTGTCTACTGTAACTATGACAATATAAACCGTCGAGGATATAGTGGTTAACAACAAAATAAGCTGACATTCATGACAAAAAGCAAGAAAACACATCAGTGATTATGTTTTATGCAAAATGCGGGGATAAGTCGAATGAAAAGTTATCAAAGCTAGTAGGCAAAGCTTTTATATAACCAATTAAGTGAATAAGCTAGTAGGTGGTGGACAATATGTTGATCCAGTGTTTAACAGCCTATGACCTGTATTGGTGTCTGTCATACCGCATTAGGACCCTGTATTTGTGACGGACCTCCTGGGCACTAGAACAACATACTGATATAGTGGCGCCAAAAGGTGTTCTACTAGATAATGGCAACATTTACGTTAGTGAAGACGTATGGCTTGAATGTATTTCCCAATCTCGTTATGCTGATGTCACGTATTAGCACTACAGTAACGAGGAGGTAGGCAACTGCACCCACCTCAAACATATGCCCAGAACATAGCTGGTGAACCGAAATGGCCGAAACAATTAGAATAATCCGAACTGATGAACTCTAGTTAGGTCCAGTTGTCAACTCGGTCAAGTCGAGTACGCAGATGTGAAGATACAGAAAAGATTGGAAAGACGAGAAAAATACGGATAATGATATGAGAAAAGTCAATCACTGGGAAGAGGTGAGGAATGGGAACACAAGGGAGTTGCGCAGTGTCTGACTGGATTGCTCATGACTGGTGCATCAAGATACGGAGCGCGCAACCACAGATGAGATCCTAAACACTACGAATGAATACTGAGTCATTTCTTCATGCTCTTAGCGCATGTAACCTATCGACGAATAATATACTGAGGTGAATGATACGCTTGCAGGCTTAAGTTTGACCATAAGAAGTATAGAATTCATGTATTCTAAGATTCAGTTTACCATCTGTCATATATTTACATCATAAAAGGTGTCATACACAACAAATCATGAGCATCGTAGTCGCAAGGCTGATGGGGGGGATAAAGAGGCCTAAGGAAATCTAAGTGGTTTAGTGAATATAATGGATTAGCTCCAGAAAACGTGAACATGGCAAAAGTATTTTCAGTGTAGTTACAACAACGCTGTAAGAAATTAAACCGGTATGAAATGACGCCATGAGCTAAACCGAAAGTAAGCTTCGAACCAATGGAACGATTAGGCTAAACCGTTTACATGCGTGAGGATGTTCGGGTAACCAAGGGACCTTGGAGAATAGTACATACGATTGGTTTAGAAGCGATGGTTAGGAGACAAACATTTCGAATAGGTCTGTGCTGAACCCCCAAGCCAGGAAGAGGGCGTTTGTAAGCCAGGTGGAATATAGTATTCAATTTCCTCATGCTCCCGCCCCATGTTATCAAACACTTGACCTGCAATTTCATCCAGTTAAGCATAGGCAACAGTGCTCCCAAACTTCAAGTGTCGTTCAGTTCAATTCGCAAAACAAGGGGGTAGTCAATGATTAAGCTCTGAGTTGCACGGCAACAGCCAAGAACTTTAAAACACAAATCCACATGTTTGCAATTCAATAAAAACGATAGTGAGGATAAACTAAACCTCCAGCTTTGCAGCCCCTCACAAGCAGGGGTCGGTGACTCCGAAGTGCGGATTAATTATGCTAACACATCTATTTGTGACTGTACTAATAAATATACAAAGTTAAGGTTAACTACTAGTGTGGTCAAGATCGCGTTGCTGGGCACATCAATCAGCGGTATCCAATACACAGCAACCGCGTAATTGATGCCCAAACGAACCCACATCGAGTACAATCTAGCCACTGCACAAAAAATTTGCAGTAGAATGACCCAGAACGCTAATGCTTTCGTTGGCCCTACGCACCATAAAGTGCAAGATGCTGTCGTAGGGTTTCGTTGACATGCAACCGCTTGCACCTATGGGCGAAAAAAAACCGAGAGTACACTCGGTTCAAGTACCTAAGCGGTAATATTACTTGTGACGGTCACACGAGTGAGCGGCAACCTCACGTGTCAACGAAATTACTATAGTTTTCCAAATACGTAATTACCTATGAAGGAAGAACTATGACAGCAGGTGGGTCAATACGTTGTACAACGCTGCTGTAAGGCCGGTGCTATTGAATGTAGTAGAAATATGGCCACTTTGCACCAGGGACGTTAGAAGAATTGGGCACCATCGATCAAAGGCGCTTGCGGAATACTACTCTTAACTTGTGGAAGCGATGGTCGAGAAAAACTGAAGTCCGTCAACAGATGACCATAAAGAACTCCTTTGGTGCCTTGCTGGATTGGCTGTTAGAATTGAAGCGATCGATTGGCCAAATCATGTTCGTTATATGCCCTTCATCATCTGCCTCGAGTTGCAGTGTTTACTATCGCTGAGTCCAGTTGGGCAAAGATGGGTGGGAGGGAGGAACGCAATCGACAACTTAAATGAAAAAATATTTTATTCACGAAAACGCGAGGCTGCTGCAAAGATATACCCATTTGGTTTGCATCGTGCCAGGCACGTCGGCTATACTCATTCGCATGACTACATAATATGCATCACTATAATAAGGCATCTGTACTTAAATGCATAAGTTCAGGTGAAAACTGTTCGGGGGTACGACCTTACGATAAGTCGAAAACACGTTGCTTATCTATACAGGAAGAGAACAGCATTTGATGAACAGAACAACCAGCTTCACCAAAAATAGCTCGGGTGATTATAAATACACCTGAGATTTGCATAGCTCCTGCAAAGTTTAGCTGGTTCTGTTGCGAACAATCACAAGATGGTCCACGACCACGCCGATTTGCGCACGCGTATGCCGACTATGAGGAGGCCCATATCATTGGTGAGAAGCCATGATTTTTTTGCAGAGCAATCGCGCACATACTTGTTACAAGCTGGCTGCAGCTATCATGCGAGCGCTGGAGTGTGCTGGATTTGATTAGCACCAGTTGTGTCAGCAAGACAATATTAAAACAATGGTGAGGAAAATGCAACATGCAACAGAATAAAAAGAATAGGGAAAACAGTACACTTGAACGCATAAAGCATTGAAAGCCAGATAAAATAAAGCGAATGCAAGGGCGCGACTGTATCATGTCCGACAGAATCTCCGACTACTGATGTGGCCCATCCTGAGGTCCAAAGCGATGAAAACGGTACAGCACAGTATTACAAAATGTTTATGCTGATTTCTTCACAGTTCAATGTCACGTCACCGACTGCTTCTCTGGCGATTTTGCCCAAATTAGCACAGCAGCAGCATTTACGAGCAAGACAATAAGCCACGTAACGTTTTCAGTGCGACGTTGACCCATACAATAACTTCGGTATTTTTGCAGGGTTATATACCTCGCGTTTGACTGACAGACTGATATTCCACCGCTTCTACAGTAGCTTTACTGATACGCTGAGTAACCTACTTAGTGACGTGACAACTAGAGGTGATACAAGTACCAAAATAAGTGAACTAATCGACGACTTCCACTGACTGTTGGGTAATAGCAAGAGCGAGTGGCTTGCCGATCTAGTCTCGTACTTTGCACTTTGAAGGTGCAAATCACATACCAAAGCTTGCAGCGTAACGTGTCAGTGCTTACAAAAGTTCTGGGTTCGACCCAAAATAAAGCTATGTATAAAACATTCTCGAGAGTTGCCAGTTGGTCTTACAACAGAAACTTCCCCAGTGGGTCCTAAGAGGACACAGAGAGTCCTTAGCAATACGCCGGCACACAACACTGAGGCTTCGCTGCTAGGCGACAATCAGATCATCAGCATCATCAACATCACCACCACCACCATCATCATCATCACTACCATCATCATCACAAGATGAAAAACACACTACAAC